GACTGTATTCGACGCAAAGACCTAGGGTGTATAGATTCTCTTGCGAAATTGGATGTAAGCACGAGTAGCAAAAACTTACGCTCCAAAAATGCAAAACAATGTGACACAACGTGAGCTGATATGAATCGAGACTCGGTGAAAAATGAAAACTGCGTTATCGAAAGCGCAGAAAGAAAAATATGCAGAAAGCAAGTACTGGTCGGAAGAACGACCAAAACAATACATCTATTGAGATTGGATGAGGAATGAATCATTTCAGCAATCGATCTTTTCGTCGATGAAGATGATAATGCAATTAGATTTAGTTTGCCGACGCGTTTCATATCTTCATTAGAGTCTAATTTTTCAAGGCATTGCACAAAATGTTCAATCAAACAAAAAGTGTAAATTAGTGAATTTCAGAAGAAGTTATAACTAATTCATCTATTCACATTGTCAATTCGACATTATCGAACAAATGAATATTTTAAATAAAAAGAAAAATTATTTTTTTCTATTTCAACTCGACATTAGTTACTAGTGATATCTAATAAGAATCTGGGTTTGAAATAAATAGTTTATCTTTGTTTTTCATAGTCAAATATATCAATGTTTCCTCTAGCAACACTCAATGTTTATTTATTTCTGAATCCTTCAAGCGGCGAATGTGATATTGATGATTTAAGATCGATTCTGAAACCATTTGATCTTTGTTTACTTGCTGATCAAGGAGTTTTCAATAATGAGAGATTGGACAAATTAACTATAAGTTCTTCATTCCTTTATTCTATATATGGTGCAGATCGCCAACATAGTTTTGATAATGCTATAGCATCTCGTTATCCGTTTGAATCATGTAAAAATCAAAGTGCAAGTTTCTTTTCTGATGGTGGAACAAGATCAATTCTTAAATGCCATCTACATGATGATCATCCACGTATTGAAAATCATTTATTTACTGTAACACATTTAGATCATTTAAATGACAGTAATCGATTAAAACAATCGAAAGCATTCACTCGAGAAAAAGATTTTATTGACATACTTCTTGGTGACATAAATGCATTAACATGAGATGATTATTCAGATGATTATTATAAGAAAAATATTGTCTAGACATGAAAACAATCACGATGAGAAAATCTTCGATTTGATTTTACGAAATTAATTACAAACCAATTGAAAAAGCCAACATTTTAGAATCAACAAGTAGTGACGTGTCAGTATGATACTTGCATTGATCATATTTAGTATAATTCACGTCTTAATCATCAATTCAATTTAACCAAATGTTCAATTATTGATACAAAACAAATGACAAGTCAACACAAGAACAATTAATTGAGTTTCTTTATTTACCAATATTCTCAAAATCGCTTCACTTTTGACAATTTTTCGCGATTTTTTTTTTAATCGCCGATTAATCGGTAGCATTTGGTGATTTTATTGTCGAAATTTAGCATTAATGGTGATTTTTCTGTGAAAATTAGCAAAAATCACCAATTTTTTACGATTTTTCGCGATATAATCGTCAATTTTGTGGCGATTTTGATGACATGGGTATTCAAAGTTTAGATTTGAATTTCTATTAAACGAATAATTTTGAGCATAATCATTTAGAAAAAAACACACGAATATTAAATAAATTCTTCGAGTTTGATTTCATCAGAGAAACAGTTTTTGGCACTTTTGTAAATAATCCATGTTAACCGTTTACTGCTCATTCTCCGACCAAAGAGTGAAAAGGATCCAAATTCTCATAACCTATTGTCATAACTGTTTTTTGAATTCGATACATTTCGAAATGACCACAACTATTCGAAAAAATACAAATGCTAACGTACATTATGAATTAACTAGCTATTATTCGGAAAACCAAGTGCCATGAACAACAAAGTTAAGAAGAATAAAGATTAAGCTTTGTTGAAATAGCATTTATTATAAATTGAATCTGTTAAATTTCATTGTTCATCGACTTTCTCAAACGAAAGTCATAGTTTCTTGGATGCATCTTGCTTTTCGTGGCGAATAATGTTCTCATCAAAACAAAACTAATATTTGTTATATCGCTTCCTTCTATTTACCCAAAGCATGTGTCATATCCTAATCGAATTGTTTCCAGTGAAGAATAAAAAACTTACTCATACCGTAAATGTCTGCAAAAACGCATTTCTTGCGAAGTTTCAAAGAACTAAAAAAAAGGTAGGATTTTCACTATTTAGCCAATATTTGAATTCTATTTTTTGTCCGTTGACTTCTATACTTAATTATGACAATTTAACATAGACTATTATCGACATTTGAATAACTCTAACACGTGGATTCAAACACGAGAATGGAAGATGAAACATATTATAAAGCAATGTCACATCCACTGAACTAAAGAAGCTCGAAGAAACGAACTTGTTATTACAATATGATTGTGACCGTATCAGTATGATTAAAGTTTTGGATTTTCGTATTAATTTATCTCAAATTCAAAATTTTATTCTTTTTTCAATGTTTAATATTTCTTGAATATATTTCCGAATCTCATGTATTTGCGCTTATGCATTTTGATCATCTTCAGTATAAATACTTTCTAAATAAATAGATTTTCAATTTTCATGTTAATACAGGTGTAAAATACAATTGTTTTGCGTTGTTTCAACTTTAGTGTATATGATTTATAGATTAAGTGAACTAACTTATTAACCCGAGATCCATATAAACTAAAGCAAATTATAATGCGTGACAAACGTAAGTGAAGTTACCACGGATCAACCGACGGACTTGTTTCAAACGTTCCACCTTTGTACCAAGGAGAGCTCGATGAAGTCTATCGAACGACGCAATCGGAGCTTCTGCAGCTTAAACTAGGATTGAGAAAAGGCCAAAATACTGTTTCTTTTTGATCGTAAAGTTTCATCACCGATTCAAGTATTTTCACCATCTATTCATTCAGGAAGGGTGTGGGTGTGGGTGGGGTGTGCGTGTGCGTGTGGGTGGGTGTGGGTGTGCGTGTGGGTGTGCGTGTGCGTGTGCGTGTGGGTGGGTGTGGGTGTGCGTGTGGGTGTGGGTGTGCGTGTGGGTGTGGGTGTGCGTGTGGGTGTGGGTGTGCGTGCGGGTGTGGGTGTGCGTGTGGGTGTGGGTGTGCGTGTGAGAGTATAGTTCTGAACGTAACTCCCACACCCACATCCACACCCACACCCACACCCACACCCACACCCAC